AATTTACATCCCTAATGAGATGGACTGCAACTGCATTTTTCAAGTTACTGCAAAAACTATACAATGCCCTTGGTTTCCACAAGCCAGAATGACAATACTGAACTAACCACTACAACTACAGGGTGGAGAAGACCATGTCACTAACCCTCCCCACCACTGCCCATGGAGATCAATGGGAGTGGGTTATTTTAGATGTAAAGCTACTGAGAAATGTACAAGTCAGTCCCATGATAGCAATGCCTTTATTATGTAAATAACACCTAATACTAATTGCCAAATGAGACCACTTCCCAACTTGCTTACAAAGGGCCTGATGCAATTTACATTTTAAGCTAGGATTGGGCCCAAAGCAATGTGTTGACATTCCCCAAGAAGATCCAATTAACATTTAGTCACCCTTCAAAAATATAAGGGACAAATCAGTCAAAGCCCCACTGCCTGGTAGAGACGACCTTTGAAGAAAATTGGAGAGATTTTGAATTTACTACTGACAGCAGTGCTTTCTCTCACAGGAAACAGAGTCTTTAGCACAAATTTTACTTTGTATGTCAGAATAGCTCAGAAATGCGTTGTCACAGCTAACTCCATTCAGGTCTAGGCAACATGTGGCCCAAAGACAGAAAAACAAGTCCCTTGAAACTGGAAGTCAAAACATCTCAGCTCTTCCCAGAGCTCACAAAGGGCTTGTTCACCCAGACACACAAGTCACAACAACCCTCTCTGGAGAGAGACTGCTGCTTTGTGGACGTGCCAAGTGTTTTCATGTGGCATTTTAACATGCTGTTTATCAGTGGTCCCCAACCATTTGGCGCTGCCGGGCCCCCAGGGGAGGGCTACTCACCCGAGTGCCAGGGGGCGGGGCCACTCATGTGCCCAGGAGTGGGCCAGGGGGCGGGGCCACTCATGCGCCCAGGAGTGGGTCGCGCATGTGCCACATGCCCGGGGGCAGGGTCTCCCATGAGCCACATGCCTGGGGCCAGGAACCCTATGCGCCGTGCAGCTGGGGCCAGGGCGGCCCATTTGCCGTGTGCCCGGGGCCGGGGCGGCCCCCAGAGCTGCACACCGAGGGCCGGCGCTCCCCATGTGGTGTGCACTCAGGGCCGGCGCCACGCATGCGCAGTGTGCCTGGGACAGCACCACGCATGCACCACGCGCCCAGGGCGGGGCTGGCCCCGAGCACTTGGCGGGCGCACACAAATGCCCCAACGGGCTCCATGGTGCCCACAGGCACTGTGTTGGGGACCACTCGTTTAAATCATCAACTGCCTGGATGAGGAAGGCTCACAGAGAGTCTGTCCATCATCCACACCAGAGTGACACAGTGATTTCACCAGACCTGAACTCTCTCTGGGCTCTTGTGGAGCAGCAGGGAGCCTGGGGCAGAGATCAGGGGTGACTATTTCAGTGGTTCTCAAACTTTTTGGCCCATGAACCACCTGGCTCTATGTAAACCTTTCCGCAGACCACCAGTTGCTAATGGAAACTCACTGTTAATTACACTCGAGCCATTTTGCTAGTGTTGCAGCTGGGGAGAATGGTTTAATTTACATTATTAAACAGATGAAGCATTTTAATTTTCTAATGTTAGTTTGTCAAACTTCATTTTAAATAAAGTAAAATAGTAATTTATGTCCACCACAAAAAGTTTCAGTATTTTCTTTGTTTATGGCAGGGGTGGGGAAACTTTTTTGTGTTGAGGGCCACTGATCCACAGAAAAAAATCAGTTGGGGACCACACAAGTGAGAAGCAAAAAAACTCCTCCCAACCCCCACCCCTCACTGGAGGTGACCCCAACTGAGACACCTCACTCCTCTGGCATTCCATAGTACGAGGAGAAGAGACAGGGAGGACTGAGGTTTAAGGCTTCCCCATAGCCCAGATTTGCTTTTCTGGTGAATGTTATGGACCCCCCCTTAGGTTCTGAGGGGGAGACAAAAATGAAGGATTCAGTGTGTGGGACAAGGCAGCCAATACATGGGATATGGATGGGGTGCAGGATGTACCAGGGATAGTGGATTTTGTGGGCCCCCTTTGGCTCTGGGGTGGGGACAACAATGAGGTGTTCAGTGTGTGGGGCAGAGCTGCCAGTGAAAGGGATAGGAATGAGGGTGCAGGAGGCGGTGAGGGTGCGAGGTCTGGATGCAAGGTTAGGTGCAGGAGCAGGGTAGGGTGTCTGGCCAAAGGAGAGGGTGCAGGAGCGGACTGGGGTTAGGGTGTCTGGCCAGGTGGGAGGATTCAGGAGGGGACTTTGGGGCACCCTTGGGACCTTACTGCTCCCAGATGAGGGATTTTTCCTGATCAAGTGAGGTCATTTCAGGCCCCCAGCTGCTCCCCCCCCGGGAGGCTTCCTGGTACAGCCCAGCTGAGCCCTACACCAGTTCCTTGTGCCTCCCCCTCGCAGCCCAGCTAAGCCACTATCTATTCCCTGTGCTTCCCCCATTCCCCCCTAGCCCAGCTGAGCCCTGTGCCCAAATTCTGGCACCTCCTCCACCCTCACAACCCAGCTGAGCCCCACACCCAGGTTCCTGGCAACTCCCCTCACAGCCCAGCTGATCCCCGCACACCGCCTCCCCTCAGAACCCAGCTGAGCCCTGCACCCAAGTTCCGGTGCCTCCACTCTCCCCCACAGCCCAGCTGAGCCCCACAATGTTTCTTTGTGCCTTTGCCCCACAAATCACTTGCTTTCTGGCACTCCCAATAGACACCTCCTATTGAGCAGGAAGTGTCCTGACTCCTATTTTCCCAGCCAAGGGAGACGGAGGGGAAACCACAATGCACAGTTGCATTTGGAGTCTCAGGGCTTTCCGGGACACTTCAATGCTTCACAGGGACAGGAGATTAAAAATTGGGACTATCCCGGATTTTCCAGGACAGATGGTCAGTGTATACACACCAGATCCTGTAAGGAGACTCAGGGCTGTCTCCTCTCCAGCCCCCCCTCCCGTGCCCTCCCAGGAAGTCAGCACTGACACTTCAGTCTTGTGGGGAGCAATAAAGTTGTAGCGCCAGCATGGGCTCCCTGCTGTGGAGGTGAGAAAGAGGGGGCTGAGCTGGGGCTGCAGAAGAACCATATCTGGCTCCCTAGAAAGCCATATTTTGCTGGCGTGCCATAGGTTGTCAACCCCTGCCTTATTGCACGGGGAGTGACCTGGCCCATACTTACCAACCACTGCTAAGAACTAAGGACAAAGGCTATTTGCATATGATTGCCCAGACACTAAGATCTCCGTTGATGACTTTCATTCACACATTTAAAACCCATAAAGTATTCCCTACTCCATATGTCTAATTTTACACATTTTGCTACATACACCAAAATAAGATAAACAGATCCAGTGAATTAAGACATGAAGATTGATAGGTTACATGAAGTAATTTGCTCAAAGCACCTTTGAGTTATGTACATTTATGTCCATAAGTCCATTTCATAAAGCATTGGCGGGGAGGGGAGTGATAGAGGAGGTTTCTGAGCCTTTAGCTATTATCTTTGAAAACTCATGGAGTCAGAAGAGATTCCAGAAGACTGGAAAAGAGCAAATATAGTGTCCATCTATAAAAAGGGAAAGAAGAACAATCCAGGAAACTACAGACCAGTCAGTTTAAATTCTGTGCCAGAAAAGATAATGGAGCAAGTAATTAAGGAATTCATCTGCAAACATCTGGAAGATAATAAGGTGATAGGTAACAGCCAGCATAGATTTGTAAAGAACAAATCATCTCAAACCAATCTGATAGCTTTCTTTGACAGGATAACAAGTCTTGTGGATAGTGGTGGGACATGGTCTACCTAGACTTTGGTAAGGCATTTGATAGGGTCTCGCATAATCTTATCAATAAACTAGGAAATACAACATAGATGGGGCTACTGTGAGGTTGGTGCATAACTGTCTGGATAACCATTCTCGGAGAGAAGTTATTAATGGTTCACAGTCATGCTGGAAGGCATAACAAGTGGGGTCCCGCAGGGGTCTGTTTTGGGACTGGTTCTGTTCTATATTTTCATTAATGATTTAGATATCGGCATAGAGAGTACGATTATTAAGTTTGCAGAGGATACTGGGAGGGGTTGCAAGTGCTTTGGAGGATAGGGTCATAATTCAAAGCGATCTGGAGAAACTGGAGAAATGGTCTGAGGTAAATAGGATGAAGTTTAATTAGGACAAATGAAGAATGGGAAGCGACTGTCTAGGAAGGAGCACTGCAGAAAGGGATCTAGGGGTCACAGTGGACCACAAGCTAAATATAAGTCAACAGTGTGACACTTGCAAAAAAAGCAAACATGATTCTGGGATGCATTAACAGGAGTGTTGTGAGCAAGACACGAGAAGTTATTCTTCTGCTCTACTCTGCACTCATTAGGCCTCAATTGGAGTATTGTATCCAGTTCTAGGTGCCATATTGCAAGAAAGACGTGGAGAAATTGGAGAAGGTCCAGAGAAGAGCAACAAGAATGATTAAAGGTCTAGAAAACATGACCTATTAAGGAAGTCTGAAAGAATTGGACGTGTTTAGTTTGGAAAAAAGAAGACTGAGAGGGGACATTGTAGCAGTTCAAGTATCTAAAAGGGTGTTACAAGGTGGAGAGAGAATAATTGTTCTCCTTGGCCTCTAAGGATAGGATAAGGATAGGACAAGAAGCAATGGGCTTAAACTGCAGCAAGGAAGGTTTAGGTTGGACATTAAGAAAAACTTCCTAACTGTCACGGTGGTTAAACACTAGAATAAATTGCCTAGGGAGGTTGTGGGATCTCCCTCACTGGAGGTATTTAGGAGCAGGTTGGCTAGACATCAGGGATGATGTAGACAGTGACTGGTCCTACTATGAGAGCAGGGAACTGAACTTCATGACCTCTCGAGGTCCCCTCCAGTTCTGGTATTCTATGATTCTATAAATAATAGTGGCAGAACTCCTATTTTAAGTGGCTTCTTCTGAAGGAATGCAGTATAACAACCATATGCTGATGGACATACAGTATTTAAGCTAAATCAAAGCAATTACCGTTTTAGCAGGGTCTTCAAAAATTTCTCTTGCTTCTTCATAATTGCATGTCTCTTCATAGCATTCTCTTTCTAGATTACCAGGAGTAAATGCTTCAAAATCAAATCTGTTATACAGAAGATGTCGTCCAATGAACAAATTGGCTCCTTTTTCTGACATAAACACTAACAAAATAAATTAATTTAAAATAGTTAAATTAGGAGCATAGGTTCTGGTATTCATAGAAAAACTGTGGAGCTCTTTAAAATTCCCAAAGTAAAACATCTGTTCCCCTCCCCCCTCAGTTTCACCCCTGCTATCAGAGACTTCAATGCCTCTTCCTGAACCATTTTCTTTGCTGCCAAGACTATCGTTCTCTTTCTGCCTCTACCACATTCAAATCGGAGCATTTTCTGTACCTTGTAAACAGTTTCAGATTTTATCAGAACAACTTTTTAGAATTTGGCCCTCATGGACATTGTTTGAAATGCAGCTGTGGTATTAGCCCTGCTGGAACATTTGAGTCCCAGGGAATCCTAAGCTTCCTTGCAATATTCAATTTCTTTAAGATGGACTTCTAAGCAGACTCAGACTGAGCTAAATCCATAACCCTTAGGCTTTTTCAAGATGTGTATATCTCTTTTGATATGTTCCCATGAGGATCCCCAGCATACATCCTTTTTCACTCATGCTGGTACTGTGAATTCAAGTCTGTGTGTGTGTCTGATAAAGAAGCTGATAAGAACACTTAATACCCACATAAAGTACCTGATAAAGAAGCTGATAAGAACACTTAGTACCCACATAAAGTACCTTTTGTTTGTTTTTTTATGTCATTAGGATGTGGCATGTAGCAGACCATCCAGCCAATGTCTTTGTTGAGGCAATAATATGGTGACACTGAGATTCATTAATGAGTGCCCAGGCAAGTTAAAATGGTCCACCAGGTTTTGTGTGTTGTCTTTTCAGATATCATGGTCACCTTATTATTTCAAATCAATTTCAAAAGCCAGTTCACAGGGAAACTACAGAATTTAATTTCTTTTACAAGTTTGATTCCTACAATAGAAGTCTAAACAAAGACATTGGCTAGATGGCCCACTACATTCCACATCCTGATGACATAAAAAACAGACAAAGGGTATGTTAAGTGAGTACTAAGTATTTTATCAGCTTCATTTAGCATGGATAATAGACAATTTCTTTCCCTTTCCCCCCCTTCTTTTTCCTCCTCTTCCCTCCCCTCATCCCTTCTCTATGCTGTTTATTTGAAAACTGGACGGACACCTTAAAACTCCAGTCATCTGAAGAAGTGGGCTGTGCCCACAAAAGTTCATGATACCATCTACATTTTTTGTTAGTTGCTAAGGTGCTGCAAGACTATCTGTTGTTTAAATTTTTCCACTTACAAAGTAACATGGCTATCCCTCAAACTTTTCATTCACTTAACAGATAAAACAGAGAAAAAAATTGTACAGCAGAATACATGTGTTTAACTGAAATCAAAACCTGATCCTTCAACTTATAGGTTTTTCAACAGCTAAATGCCAATCCAACAGAATGGGGGGCGGGGGAGGGGGAAATGTCAAAATCAGGTTCCATATTGTTATGTGCAAGTTTCTTAGATTGGGAAATGTCAAAATCAGGTTCCATATTGTTAAATCTAAGAAACTTGCACATATTTACATTAACTGTAGTGCCTTAAATGTGTATGTATTAGAGTTATGGCTGCTTTGTGGGAATTTCCTGACTTTTCTATGTCTCACCCCTGTACCAGAACATTATACTAACAATTTCTCATTTTAGTTTAAAATTATCAGTTATGCAGGCAGAGGACTTGCAGAATCAAGATCTATATATGGAGACTTTCTAGCTCACTAGTCTGACTCCAAACCCATCTCCTGCATTTAGGTTATTCAATAGCCTATGTGAAATAATCATGAGACTTTAATCCAGTTGTTAGTGGGCAATTGGGCACACCTTAAAAACCCCATCAGACTTGGAACTACTGTTTTGGTACTTACTCATCTTGCCTTTAAATATAATCCTGACTGGCAGGATTGGAGATCTACTGATCAGGAGTGGTGGGGCACCTTGGTCTGCACACCCACATACACTCATGTTATTTGCAATAGTGGATTCTTCACGTAATAATGGACTAGACACAAATAATTTGGAGAAATAAACCAAATGAGAGACCAGATTAATGCTCCCACGTGTTTGGATTCAATGCTGGCTGTTAGAAATACAGCTGGTCCCTGAGTTGTGAACGGTCGACTTATGACCGTTTGCAGTTACGACTGAAGCAGTTGTAAATGGCGGACCCTGAGTTATGAATGCGATCCGCGCTTACGAACAGCACGGTCACGTGTAACTCTATGGGGTCCGACTTACGAACACACCGAGTTACAAAGCGGCTACAAACCAAGCAATTGGTTGTAAGTCAGGAAGAGGCTGTATAGGACTGCCAAACTGCACCAACCACTGATCCATCACTGTCTTCCACAGTTACCAGCATATGTTTTATGTGAGGGTGCAAGCCGTCTCTCAGTAGGTAAATGTAGGATAATCAGCCCCTATGAAGGTCTCATTCAAATCTTTACAGTTAAAGATTGTCTCAATCCTTGAAGCTTGGGGTTTACACTGCTCCTAAATTATGCAACTATCAACTATCATAACTCTACATATTCCTTGCTGTCCACATAAAAATGTCTAACCCCTCTGAGTCTGGCTGAATTCTTGGTTTCAATGTCATCCTGTGGCAGTAAGTTCCACAGGCTTCTGAATGAAAACATTTCTTTAATCAAACAAACTTTCTGTTATGTCAGAAGTTAATCTGGTGATTCAAAACAGTTTTGGATCAAAGCTTTCATTTAAAAAAAATGGATATTTTCTGAATGCCAAGAGAATTTTGTACCATCCTGTTTAACTATTTTTAAATTATGGGAGAAGCAGGAATATAATTTTTAAACCAGTCTAAATGCCATTGCTACTAATGTTAGTTAACTATGACAAGTGTTACACAATTTTAAGCAAAAGATTGTTTCCTCAATAGCATAAGATGCAGTGTTGCTTCAGAAAGCACAGCTTCATTTTAGAAGAATGTTACCTTGCTTCCTTGTATGCTTTAATCTTCTTATGCAATGGGGAAATGCAAACATTACTGGCAGCTGACACAGCAGTACCAAAACCACAGACATAGTCTAATATCTGTCAAAATAAAATATTAGTTAAAAATGCCCGGATGTTATTTGTGTTTCTTAATGAATCCTCTATATGCATTTGTCAGACAAGTCCCTACAAGCAACTTGGATTTTTTTCCCCTATAGGCAGTACACCTACCCAAACCAGTCCCACATGTATTTAATAACAATTGCATAATGACCTCCTTATTGATAGTCATCACAATTTGATGTAACAAAGCTCAGTATTTTACCACATGAGCTAGAGGAATAACTTGATTAGCTGGCAGAAGTAGTATAGGCTATTACTAAAGATACCACACATTTTGTGTTTGTGGCAATCACACTTGGAAGATTTTAATAATGGTGATCCTGCAGGCAGCCAAACAAACCTCAGTGCAAGTGTGACTGATTGCAGATAAAACAATCATTTTGACCACTGATGAAATACAGCCACCATTTGGGGAGAGGGCAAGCTACTTGGCTGTTAACAGCAGAATTTGTAATACCTGCCCTATCCAATGGAAGGTGCCGTTTAACTTATTCTAGAATATAAACCAGCTTTGATTATTTAAACCTTTTCAAACTGCACCTACAAAACACTTTTCTATGGAGTGAGTTTTGCCAGGGAAAGCTCATGATAGCTATATTTGTGACAAGACTACGCATCGTTTTCAAGTTACAGAGTAAAACAGCAACCCCCCTGAGACTTTACATGAAAAAGGGGTGCCAGTGTGACTCTAAGATAAATAGTCAAATTAAAAAGTAATTTCCCTTCCAGTGGAGCTTGCTGGAAAGCTCTGTTTTCCCTTTTTTTAAAAAAAAAAGCTGGACCACTGAGGGAGTCTCTGTCTCTTGCCATCCTAGACTGGTGACAGCCGGCTGAGCCCCATATGAGGCAGGTCTGAGGAATTTGAGCACCAACCCCTCACCCCTCCCAGACAACTGAAAGTGGCAGCACCCTGGTTGTTCTCGGACTGACTGCGCTGCTGGCGCGGGGATCGTGCCCGGAGCTCCCTTCCCAGCCAAGGGCTCGTCTTCATTACACAGCTTGTTTCTGGGGCTCTCATGACTGGCTGGGGCGAGTGGAACTAACCCACCCGGGCTCTTGGCCGTGATCCCCGGGCCCGGCGCGCCGCCTCACCTAATCCCACCCGCAGGCGCGTTCGAGGGACATGGGAGCGGACCCCTGCGGGGCTGGGGGGCTGATGCCACAGGGCCGACCCCAGGTTTGACTCCGGGAATGAGTTTCGCGGCCCGACAGGAGGGGGCGCGGGTTGAACAAGTCTCGTTGTGCGAGCCGCCCGGCGGCGGGGTCGAGCTGCAAGGAATCCCTCGGCCGGGGGCTCTGCC